TCTGTTGAAAGGCAAAATGCAAGGATTGGTTGATGCTTGTCTTGAATCCTTCCTACCAATTGGAAAGCCACAGCCTCCTGCAAGTTAGGAGACGCATGCTCCCGGTTGTGTGCGCGCGTTCACCTCACATGAATGTGCGCACGCGAGAGTTGCAACCGCATCCTTTCGCTGATCTCCCAGTGATAAGACACGACTGAACTGGGCCGTGTAGTGTAGGAGCAACAGTGAGGATATCCCGTAAACACGCAAGATTTCCTCCCACGGTGGCGACCGCGCTAGCAACCTGTGCAAGGCAGGTGGCGTGCAGAGCTCTCTCAAGACAGCACAGGGCGGTAAGCGTGCTTCTTCAACGCCTAAAAAGCTCTACTTCCGGATTGAAAACAATGTCTTCTATGATCCCGTAAGTGAGAAGCGTAGAGGATGCCATGCACGTCGCGTGACAAAGAGGAAGGATCGTAGATGTAACGCCACACGAAAAGAGAAGCGCGAGTCTCGGTTCAGATTATTGTGTGCGTTTCACAATGCCTCCAATCCCAATGCTGTGGTTGACATGGCAGCTTCTGATCCCATACTCAATGCAAGACATCTTTCGGACGATGGGACAGCCAGACTTGCCAGCTGGATTGCAAATGAGAGAACGCCAGGGCCGGCAAAACTCGAGCCGAGGGGTAACACTTCTTGGGTCGCTAATGTGAAGGCGTGGACAAAAACAGCAACTTGTGGCAGGTCATGCGCTGCGATGGGAGATGAATCGAAAAACCAACTAAAAAGGGAAATGGCAGAAACTTCGAAGACGCAGTTGAAATCACATTTGGATCTGTCTCATGTAAAGAGCAACTTCTCCGCACTCCGGTTTGCCCCACCGCAACCGACTCCCTTAACCTCTCCCAGCGTGAGATCTCGTTCAGTCAAACCCAATGTGGGTACTGAGACACACTATGAGTCTAGTGAGGAAATCGGATCCGATTTGCCCCTTCCAGACCTACCGAAGAATCCCTTCGAGAGCGTCATCATCAACATTCCGGTGTTAGGGTTCAAAAGGTGTGGCAAGACAAGCCTCCTTAATAGCCTTGTGCAGACTGGCCCCACCAGATTCACCACCTCGTCCTCGCGAACACCGACTTACTACTATCCTATGGTGATTTTCAATTATCAGGTCTTCAACTTCCGACTAATCGATTGCCCCATGATGCTGCAGAACTTTCCCCTCTCCACGCTCGATGCATGGACAGATTTTCGTGGTTGGGGTCTCCATGTAGCTGACTTCTTCATTCTCGTCTTCGATATTACCTGTGAACTCTCCTTCCAGTATATGAAACTGCTGCGTGAACAAATACTTGCTGCGAATATGAATGTGCCCATGGTGATAGTAGCGAACAAAATTGACTTGCTCAAGGATTCAAGCAGCACTGGCACGCCTCACCAATCCTTGACTGCAACTTCACTTTTGTTGCAGCGATCGGCAAGATACAATGGTCGGGTATCCTCAAGGAATCATTTGGACGGATCGGTCAATCTTGAGGATAGTAGTTACGCTTCGGGTGCGCCACCCATCTCCTTTCTGCCGCATAGTCACGCATCTGTTGGATTCTGTCACAGGATGGCATTTCGACGCGACGTAGCCCTGTTGGTGAAAAAGCATTGGAAGGGATGCGTGCTGGTGGAGTGCTCGGCTCTCTACAACTTCAACACGCTGGCTATTCTCAGGGAGGTGCTGCGATTTGTACAGTACCGACAGTGTAGCCAAAAACTCTCCACAGCTCAAACTGCACAGGCGGTGTGGCAGAGAAATCAGTGTCGTGTCCTTTGAGTCACTCTCCTTCCCTTTTTACCTTGCCTATCAAATAACTTCAAGTATGTACATTGAAATAAACCAGCATGCTTGTTGCGAGAGCATGGAGTCTTTAATTGAACCTCCACAGTCTAGCTGTTCTTTGCAGTGCGGTCGACAGTTGCACCGAAATCAAGTAATGAAACAGCATGTGATGAGAGGACTACGGGGAATGAGGAGCAAGTAAAAAAAGTGTGTGTTTGTGTGTACGTGTACTGGGTTTGACAATGGGTCTCCAGAATGATGTTCCAAGTTAACCATCCCACTAATTTTTGCATAACTTGCTTTACTGCACCTTGATTTCTTGTTAGCGGGACGAGAGTGTGGCAGTGCATATGGCAACAGATTAAATGATGCATATAATATCTCTACTTTCTTCCTCATCATCGTCTTGTTTCGAGTTTGTTAACTATATCATGTGGAATGGGTGTGTACTATTTCAATTCGACCCAATGCATCCGGTCAATGCGGACTATGTGTAGCCTTCGCTTAAATGTTATAATTAGGGAGGGAAAGTTAGCCTTACCCTTACTCCATAAAGGTAGGAGCGCAGTGCGAACAACTCTTGTTACGCATATGCGAGTGCAAGTGTGATTGCGCGCTACTTGCCAAATGCAATAATTCAGCCATCATGAGGTATGTAAGAATGAAAGTGATGTAGGTGGGACCTAATCTACTGCAGGTCTTTGTGCTCTCCATGCAACACTGCAGAAGCGTTAATAGAGGCAAAGGGTCGAGCAGATCGCGTGGCGTGGCACTTGAACTCAAGAAGGCGTGGCCGTCGTCATTACTAAGCATGGAAGACGGGCATGTTATGTGCTACATTTGTGGCACACCATCTTCACTTTCGTCTATCAATGTGCAAATGTATGCACGAGCAGATGCGATCCGTGTGGACGGTGGTATTCTGTGCCCATTGCACCAACGTCACGCCAAAGCAGACATCTTTGGTCTGTGTGGTGTGAAATAGTTTTGAGTTGACAAGTTGCAATAATATGAATCCATTCTTCCGTGGTAGGCACTAATGGTAGTGCAGTTCTGTGGGCCACGACATCATTGGCTATCGTGAGTGAAGCAAGTTGTTTGTGTTCTGACATCAATGAAAAATGCGAACGACAATTCTATTCGCTCATGGTAGCTATCTCACCCTCACACCTCTTATTTTGAACTTATATTCTTGGGAAACCTCATTCCTTGCCCATGTGCGTGTGAGTTTGTACTTCGCATTATGTTTCGCATTTGTTTTTATGCTTCCGTCAACTTCTTCGATCTTTCTACGTTTTTTTAATTGCAGGCCATTCCAAGCCTCCCATTGTCTTTTAGTTTAAGCTGGTCAGCATATTGCGTTTTCACACTGCCCTTTTGGCGGTTCCATTTCGCACCTTGGCTTTTGTCTGATGTAGTTTCTTAAACGACTTTTGCAAAATTTAGAAACCTGTAAACATATTTCGCTGCCTTAAATCTACGCCAGACTTTAATTGACTGATGCGGTATTTGTGGACCTTAAAATGGTATTCAATGCACATGTGATAGTAATTTATTCGAAATATGGCCAAACAACTTTAATTTTTGGCCGTCTTCTAACAGTCCATTCGTTTCGGCTTTAAGGCAAAATTATTGCTAGTTTCTTCATCCAATTAGTGTGCAAATGACATCAATAATGCATATACGTTTGTGTGTGACGGATTCTTTAATGTCCACATATGCACATGCATTATTGGACATCCAGTCTAATATGTCCGCAACTTGCGCGGACCTCTAACGCCTAATTTTATGGCGTCCACAAAGTCATATTTTCCCTTTATTGCAAGGCTGTTTACCCACTGGAAAGTCTACTTTCGCCTAGGGACAAAATTTGTGAACAGCTTCCTTTTGTGAAGAAGTAGAGGTAGATCGACTTTATGGCCGATGTGCTCAGAATAAAGGTCGCAGATATCTTCTCTAACAAACTTTTATCCATCTGCACTAGTTGCCTAATGCATTATTTGACTGACTTCTGCATTAGTATCCCTCTTTTTGCATGCAGTCCCCTTCTAGTTAGGGAGGAGTAGCAAACTTTTGTTCCTTGAAGGAGTAAAAGGTGGGAAAGCAATGGCAACCTCTTGAATGGGATTGATTTAGCCTGTCAGGTGTAGATCCAGTAGGTGGTACTGAGATGACTCGTCTCACTTTTTAAGGGACGATTTACACAGTGGTTGTTTGTGC